AGTGTATTATAACTGCAGCTATAAGGTTATGGTGTAAGGAGGTCCCCTGTCTCCCCACACACAGTGTATTATAACTGCAGCTATAAGGTTATGGTGTAAGGAGGTCCCCTGTCTCCCCGCACACAGTGTATTATAACTGCAGCTATAAGGTTATGGTGTAAGGAGATCCCCTGTCTCCCCGCACACAGTGTATTATAACTGCAGCTATAAGGTTATGGTGTAAGGAGGTCCCCTGTCTCCCTGCACATAATGTATTATAACTGCAGCTATAAGGTTATGGTGTAAGGAGGTCCCCTGTCTCCCCGCACGTGGTGTTTTATAACTGGAGCTTTAAGTAGAGCAGGATTAACAGCCCTACTACAATCTGTAATGAATGCTGCTGCCAGGCTGATCTTTCTCACCCGTCGCTCTTCCCATACCTCGCCCCTCTCTTGATCCTTGCACTGGCTTCCTGTATCCTATAGGTGTCAATTCAAAGTACTAACCCTTACCTACAAAGCCCTAAAAAATTATAGCCCCTGCTAATTCATAGATATGTCCCTTATCGGTAGACATGTGCAATTCGTTTTGTTCCAAATGCTAATTCGGAGGAATTTAGGGCAATTTGGACATTTGGATACTTCCGAATGTCCGAATAGCTGAATTGCCGAAGTTCCAACGGTCCGAAATTGCAGAATTTCGAAATTTCCAAAGTTCCGAAGTGTCGAATTTCTGAAGCACAGTATTGCCGAAGTAGTAATATACCCAGTGGAAGAATGATGAATGTTACACTATATACCAGTTTAAAAAAAAAGTATACAAACATAGCCAAGATTCAGCTGTAAGCATTTGCAACACTTACAACAATCAAGTAACACATTCATCTAAAATGTAAGTTACTTAGCCAGTCAATGGAATGACAGGAATAAATAAGTAGATAACTCTCTAATTCCCATGGTATTAGGGAGCTATCTACCAAAAGGCTGAAAGACCTAAATTGCTCTTTCAGCCAAATTTACTAATACTAAGTAAAGATTACTTAGTATTAGTAAATTATGCTCCTACTCGCTATAACTCGAGTAGGGACATGTCTAGTAAACAGTAAACTCGCGGTATAGTGAGTAGGGGCAGAATTGACTAATACTAAGTAATTTTTACTTAGTATTAGTAAATATGGCTAAAAGACCAATTTAGGTTAAAGGGTCCCCCCTCATTATTTTTAGGGTGAGGGGGGTAGGTAGGAATTAATTGTTTTTGGAGGGGTGACTACAGGTTTGGGGACCCCTAGTCACCTGGGGAGGGGGGTAACATTTTTATTTAGGGCCTCCACCCGTCTTTCAGGGGTGGAAGCCAGGGGGAGGACATTAGGTCCCCCCTTATTAGTATTTAGGGCCCCCACCCACCGCTCAGGGGTGGGGGCCAGGGAGGAGGACATTAGATCCCCCCATTTTTCCAATTTAGGGCCCCCACCCACCGCTCAGGGGTGGAGGTCAGGGGGGAGGACATTAGGTCCCCCCCTTATTAGTATTTAGGAACCCACCCACCGCTCAGGGGTGGGGGTCAGGGGGGAAGACATTAGGTCCCCCCCTTATTTTACTGTAGGGCACCCCGCCTTTTCCAATTTAGGGCCCCCACCTGCCGCTCAGGGGTGGGGGCCAGGGGGGAGGACATTAGGTCCCCCCCTTATTAGTATTTAGGGCCCCCACCCACCACTCAGGGGTGGGGTCCAGGGGGGAGGATATTAGGTCCCCCCCTTATTAGTATTTAGGGCACCCAGCGGTCAGGGGTGTGGGTCAGGGGGGAGGACATTAGGTCCCCCTTTATTTTACTGTAGGGCACCCACCCGCCGCTCAGGGGTGGGGGCCAGGGGGGAGGACATTGCTGTATTTTACTGTAGCGCCCCCACCAACCTTTAAGGGGAGGGGGCCAGGGGGGAGGACATTAGGTCCCCCCCTTATTCTAATTTAGGGCCCCCACCCACCGCTCAGGGGTGGGGGCCAGGGGGGAGGACATTAGGTCCCCTCCTTATTAGTATTTAGGGCGCCCACCTGCCGGGGGGGGGGGCAATATGGACCCTTTTTTTTACAGTGAGCAGGCTGCTCACTGTTTAATATGCATGCCCCTACTCACGGTATAGCGAGTATTGGCAAAATTTACTAATACTAAGTAATTTTTACTTAGTATTAGTATATTTGGTTGAAAGACCAATTTGGGTCTTTCAGCCTTTTGGTAGATAGCTCCCTAATACCGTGGGAATTAGGGAGTTATCTACTAAGCGGCTGCAAGAGAAGTGCCGAAGTCCCGAAATTCTGAAGTGCCGAAGTTGCCTGTAGCGGAGTAGCAGGGGTTAATCCAATAGCTCTCCGCTGGAAACAAAGATTCAGCATACAAAATCACAGGAACACAGCATAATCAACCTCCCCAAGGACTAGACGACACATAGTATGGGAGTCAACTGTCAGCTTTATTCACAGGTCTGCTTTTATGCATGTCTCCCATGCAATGGAGGTAACTTTCACAATTACTACAGTACCCAATCATATCGTGGTCCCCTCCCATCCCTCTCCTCCCCTTAGATTAACACTTAAACAGATTAATATGTACAGAGTTTTCCCCGCTTCGTGGATGTCCCCTAAATACAGGGGGTACAGGGTTAAATAAGGGGTCCCCCGGTAGCCATGATCTGGGTGAGCAACATACTCAAAATTCACCCAGATCGGACCAGGGGTTCGGGAGTTACAGCCAGTGAAAGATTTGACCGACCGCACGGGCTCAGTAGCCTAAAACAGTTCCATGAATTCTGGCCCTGCGGTCGGTCTTTTCTAGTGAATAAAAAGTCCCGAACGGCTTAGGCATCCAGGCATCTGTTACCGTTCGTATGAATCCCCTCGTTCGTGGGATTCCACCTACCGAATGCCGGGGCGTTCGTGCGTTTGCTTCATACATTTTGAGTGTGCTGGAGGTCTTAGCGGTACTTGGTTAGGCGAATGCCCAATTTGAGTTCCAGGCGTTCGACGACCAAGTACCGCTGTTCATGCGTAAGATGGCCTCCGCCACGTGTTCGGTAGGCGAAATGGCGGCCACACACACTTGCACTTAATACACTTTGCAACATTGTATCTTTGGTTAATAGGAGACACACGACCACCCCGGGGTGGTCTCTCGTTCGGTAGTTTCAGGGCATTCGCATACAGAACAGCATGAATAGCATTATAGTCCGTTCGTGAATTAGTCTCTGCCTTAGCACCCATTCGCTTGTAATAATCCCAATGTTCATTCGCACAGAAGTGTCGAAGTGCCGAAGTTCCAAAGTTTTGAAGTAGCGAATTGCTGAAGTCCTGAATTGCGGAAGTCCCGAATTTCGGAATGCCGAACCAAAAATTTTCCCCATGCACATGCCTTATACACACACACACACAGACACATACACACACGCATACAGACACATACATACAGAGGCACACACATACACACACACACACAAAATGTTTCCTGTTTCCTACCTTTTGCAGGAGGGTGACTTTTCCTGGGGTTCAGTGGGGGCTCAGCCTGATGGAAGTCAGAGTTCCCACTCTGACTCCCTCCTCTCCTTCCTCCCACGCGGCTCTCTGATAGCTGGGAGAAGTGACGGCAGTCACTTCCTCCCAGCTCTGTCTGATGTCATCACCGGGGGCCCGGCGCTGACCGGGCACCCTGGAAATCCATCTCCATCGTGTGGCCCTAACAGCATGGGCAACCTGATGTGCCCCTTGAACGGCGACCCGGCGGATTGCCGCGTGAGCCGGGGTCGCAAAACATGATGGCTGGTACCCGGTAGCAGGGGTCCGCAGGGCGGCTGGGCCCCTTGGAGTAACGGCCCTGTCACAGCTGTGACTCCTGCGACCGCGGTATGTACTCCACTGTGCCCGCCTCCATGTGTTGCTGCCCCAGCCTACACAGTTTAACCGCTGGGGCCGCACGTTAAGGGGCCCATAGGGTGGCCCATTCTGTTAGGGTCACCTGATGGCTATGGATTTCCAGGGGGCCCAGTCAGTGCTGCGGTGCTTTAACAGCTGACAAGGCCCCCTGAGATTACATCAGAGCTGTGAGGAATTGACTGCCCGTCACTCTTCCCAGCTTACAACAGGAGCTGCGCGAGAGAAAGGAGAGGAGGGAGTCAGAGTGGGAACTCTAGCTCCCATCAGGCTGAGACACCACTGTACCGCAGGGAAGTCCCCCTCCTAAAAGGTAGCAGACAGGAGGGTGACTAAAATATTTTGTATATGTGTGTGTTTGTTAGTATGTATTTGTGTGTCTGTATGTGTCCAAATGTATGTGTGTGTCTGTATGTGTCTATATGTATGTGTGTGTGTGTGTATGTGTCTATATGTATGTGTGTGTGTGTGTATGTGTGTGTGTATGTCTGTCTGTGTATTTGTGTATGTGTGTGTCTGTCTGTATGTGTATGTATGTATGTGTGTGTATGTGTTTGTATGTATGTGTGTGTCTTGGTATATGTGTGTGTGTCTGCATGTGTGTGGGGGCAACGTATGGGGGGGGTTGCAGGGGTTAGACGTATGGGGGGGGCACCAGGGAAATTTTCGCATCAGGGCCCTGTAGTTTCTAGTTACTCCTCTGGGTCCAGGTGTTCGACAGGGGCCCAGAACTATTGCTTGGCCCCATTAACAACCACTTTTATGAAGTATGAAACGGGGCCCAAACTAGTAACCTGCCTAGGGACCCATGGAATCTTAATCCTTCTGTCTATAAGGTTATGGTGTCATTCTTGTTTTCTTTGAAAGCTACAAAATATTATAATAACGGTTACAATTACGATAAAAAGTAACCTTTCTTGTAGAAGCGTGATTCTCAGCATAAATAAAATCAATGTAGTAAGTTATTCTACATGTTATATCATAAAAAGAGTAAGTGAAAGGGGTGTGCATTTCTTGGCTCTGGATCAGCCCTTTGTCTTTACCATGTAATGCAACTGACGTGGGCAAGGACTACAACGACCAGTCACAAGAAAACCAATGTGTTATCCTCACTTCAAGCGCCTGTTATCATCTGACTCTGGGCTGCAGCTACATCCCCACTGCCAGCAAGGTATGTCAGGGCTAGAGACTGGTCCCAATGCTGATGGTCTAGCTGTGTATATGGTGTGTGGGTCAGTTTATTTATCTTTCTTATTGCTTTTATGTTTTAATCCTTTCATAGAATAAATTATTATTATTATTATTATTATTATTATTATTATCACGTGGAATAACAGGAGAGACACAGACAAAGAGTGCATCGTTGTATCTGCCCTCTGTGAGGTGGAGGGAGAAGAAACATTTTTCTTAAATATTGTTCAGACCGGGTCAAGGTACACCAACCTCTGAATGTAAAAAGTACAATAGAAATAAACTAGAAACCCGTAGAATTGTAGTAGGCAAAATGTAAATAAGTTTAAATGATACTAAGAACAAAATAATATAAATGGCAGCAAGTAATGCACAATGTAAGGTAGATGAGACGAAATGAGAATACTGGTAGAACCATTAAAAAAAATAGCAAACATAAAAACAAGCATATAAAAATATGAAAATGTAACAAGACAAAAATATAACAATAAGCATATATATCTATTATTTTACATTTTTGTATTTCTCTATGCTTGTTTTTTATGGTTCTATCTCACTTTGTATACTACTTGCTGCTATCTATATTATTACATTTTTAATCTCATTTAAACTTTTCTACATTTTTACCTACTACGGTATTTTCTAAACATTAGCCCCTGGCAATTCTACTTGCCTCTGTTTGACTGATACTGTATTATTAGTATTACATGCTTTTTAACTCTTTTTTTCCCCTAAAATCTCAGAATTGAATTCTTCTTCCACTCAACATTCATTACTCCTGTAAGTTTTGTAGGAATATTTTGTGTTGGGAAAATTCCAAAGGGTTTATAGAGCAGGCAAATAAACTGGGTGAGCGAGTGTGTTTGTGCTTGTCACAGTATTATGAAAAAAATAGATGCCTTTGCATGTATCATTATTATTATTGCCATTTATATAGCGCCAACAGATTCCATAGCGTTTTACAATATCATAAAAAGGGGGGATTTAACCATGAATAGGACAATTACAAAAACTTAAATGAATGATAGGACCCTGCTCAAATGAGCTTACAGTCTATAGCAGGTGGGGTATAAAACACAATAGGACAGGAGATTTCAATCAAATAAGGTGAGAGTAAAGCAGAGCTGGAAGAGAGAGTAAGAGCTTTAGGAGAGAGCAAGAGACAGGTATGTGAGGGAAATGTTACTCTGGGAGGCCATAAGCTTTCCTAAATAGGTGGGTTTTAAGGCACTTCTTAAATGATTGAAGACTAGGGGAGAGTCTGATGGTGGTAAGCAGGTTATTCCATAGGAAGGGAGCCGCCCATGAGAAATCCTGCAAGCGTGAGTTGGCCATCCTGGTGAGAGCAACGGACAGGAGCAGGTCATAGGCAGAATGGAAAGACAGAGAAGAAGCATACCTATGGATCTATGAGGAGATATAAGAGGGGCTAGAATTGTTCAATGTTTTATTGGTATTGATTAGAATTGACTCCTATAGGATACAGGAAGCCAATGTAGAGACTTACAGTGGGGTGAGGTGTGAGAGGACCAACTGGAGAGGAAAATCAGTCTGGCGGCAGCATTCATTACAGACTGTAGCGAGGCAGTACGGCTTTTGGGAAGACCAATTAGGAGAGAGTTACAATAATCCATGTGAAAAATTACTAGAGCATGGACAAACTCCTTAGTATCATCCCGCGTAAGAAAGGGGTGGATGCGGGCTATGGATTTAAGATAGAATCTACAGGATTTGGTAACATACTGGATGTGAGGCTCAAAGATGAGGCCAGAATTAAATAAAACACCAAGACAGGACGCTTTCAAAGATGGACTCATGTGGATACCACTAACTTGAAGGGAGAGCAAAAGAGGAGTCTCAGTATTAGGAGCACGAAAGACAAGGAGCTCAGTTTTAGAGCGATTGAATTTCAGAAAGCAGGAGGACATCCAGTCAGAGATGGAAGAAAGGCAAGCAGTGACACTTTGCATGACGGTAGAGGAGAGGTCCAGGGAGGAAAGATATATCTGTGTGTCATCAATGTACAGGTGGTAGTGGAAGGGGACCAAGGACAGAGCCTTGGGGGACTCCAACCGAGACAGGACGAAGGGAGGAGGTATCATTAGAAAAGGAGACAAAGAATGAGCGTTGGAAGAGATAAGAGGAAAACCACAAGAGGACAGAGTAACCGATACCCAGTGATTGAAGAGTTTGAAGAAGGAGAGCATGATCAACAGTCAGGGCCGTCTTTAACGCGGGGCAAACGGGGCAGCTGCCCCGGGCCCAGTTTCTCTTGGGGGGCCCGAGGCACCTGCCCCGTGGGCCCCGCTGACCCCGGCGGGTGGGTGGCCGGTCGGGCGGGCAGGAAGGCGGGCGCGCGAGGGAGCACTCAGCGCTTCCTCTTCAGCTCCCTCGCGCACCGCACTGATGCCGGAGCCGGAAGATGACGTCATCTTCCGGCGCCGGCATCCCTACGCGGCGCGAGGGAGCTGAAGAGGAAGCGCTGAGTGCTCCCTCGCGCGCCCGCCTTCCTGCCCGCCCGACCGGCCACCCACCCAGGAGCCCAGCAGCACCACTGGACCCCAGGGAATCCCCCAGCACTCCAAAAGGTAAGGAGGCTGGGGGTATTACATTAAAAAAAAAAAATGTGTGTGTGTGTGTGTGTTTGTGTGTTAGTGTGTGTGTTTGTGTGTATGTGTGTGTTTGTGTGTTAGTGTGTGTGTTTGTGTGTTAGTGTGTGTGTGTGTGTGTTTGTGTGTTAGTGTATGTTTGTGTGTGTGTGTTTGTGTGTGTGTATGTGTGTTTGTGTATGTATGTGTGTGTTTGTGTGTTTGTGTATGTATGTGTGTGTTTGTGTGTTAGTGTATGTGTGTTAGTGTGTGTGTTTGTGTGTGTTAGTGTATGTGTTTGTGTGTTAGTGTATGTATGTGTGTGTTTATGTGAGTTTGTGTGTTAGTGTTTGTGTGTTAGTGTGTGTGTGTTAGTGTGTGTTAGTGTATGTATGTGTGTGTTAGTGTATGTATGTGTGTGTTTATGTGTGTTAGTGTGTGTTTGTGTGTTAGTGTATGTGTGTTAGTGTGTTAGTGTGTGTGTATGTGTGTTAGTGTGTGTGTATGTGTGTTAGTGTGTGTGTTTGTGTGTTAGTGTATGTGTGTTAGTGTGTTAGTGTATGTGTGTTAGTGTGTTAGTGTGTGTGTATGTGTGTTAGTGTATGTGTGTTAGGGTATGTGTGTTAGGGTATGTGTGTGTGTGTGTCAGCATGTCTGTGTGTGTGTGTCAGTATGTCTGTCTGTCTGTGTGTCAGTATATATGTGTGTGTATATCTGTGTGTGTCAGTATGTGTATGTGTCAGTATGTCTGTCAGTGCGTCAGTATGTCTGTTAGTGCATGTGTATGCATGTGTCAGTATATCTGTCTGTGTGCCAGTATGTCTGTGTGTGTGTGTGTCAGTATATCAGTCTGTGTGTGTCAGTGTATGTGCCTGTGTGTGTGTGTCAGTATTTCTCAGTGTATGTGGGTGTCAGTATTCTGTCAGTGTCAGTGTCAGTGTATGTGTGTCAGTATGTTGATCAGTGTATGTGTCTGTGTGTGTGTGTGTCAGTATGTCGGTATATGTGTCTGTGTGTCAGTATGTCTGTATATGTGCCTGTGTCAGTATGTCTGTCAGTACGTCTACCAGTGTATGTGTCTGTGTGTGTGTCAATATATGTACCTGTGTCAGTGTGTCTGTCAGTGTATGTGCCTGTTTATCTGTATGTAGTCAGTGTATGTATCTGTGTATCTGCTTGTGCGTCAGAGTGTGTACCTGTGCATCTGAGCCGCAACTTTAAATACAAATACACCCCTCATTCAAACTTCAACACTACATATAAAACACACTCCTGCATTGAAACGTCAACACTACATACAAGCACACTCCTACATTCAAAAACAAACACTACACATAAATGCACACTTGCATTCAAACTCCAGTACCACATACAAACACATTCACACAAACATACTCCATACAAACACATGCTTACATTCAAACATACTAACATGGCTCAGTGCTAAATACAACCCTGCAAGCATGGGAAATTGGTAGAGTCCCAGCTGTCAAAGCATTGTTGGAGTTGCACGACAGATGGGGTTCTACCTTTAGTCCAACCTTGCAATTGGGGTCCCAATAAAATTCATTCTACTTTAGTACCGCCACTGCGTTGGGATGGATGCCGTGATTGCATACCAGGGAGTGAGGGGCGAGAGCGGCAGGGCACAGGGGGCCCAAGCAAACACTTGCCCAGGGTCCATTCGTTATTAAAGACGGCCCTGTCAACAGTGTCAAAGGCAGGAGAGAGGTCAAGAAGAATTAGTATGGAGTAGTGTCATGTTAAGTCCTTTTAGTCCTGTGGCCTAAATGAACAAAAAATGCTTTGAAAAGGTTGGTATTTTTTTTTTATGTAAAGAGCTTTGCAATCAAAAGTTGTAAAGCATTTAAAATCAAAAAGAATCTTAAGGATGTGATTAGAGGAGTATCTTTTTCATGTATAATAGTACTGAACGTTCTGTGAATTTGTCCTTGGAGTTTTCAAAAGAGTTTTTCTCAAACACCCTTTTGTTGCTTATTTACTGTTGACTCCAGTATCTTCCTCCCCTCTTTATATTTTCAACATTTAAATCAGCTTTTAAATTGTTTGTACATTATTTTCTGTCTGCTGGAATAGCTACCTTTCCTCTTTGATGGACGATCTTCAACTATTCTTCATAAAGCTCTAGTAGGACTTTATAATGTATTTTTCCTTTGTATCTGTTCCACTGAAACCAAAACTGGGCGTAGGAGACCAGGTAAAAACTTTGTAGCACTGAGTGTGTCCTCTCTCACGTGTGCCATTACACACAAAATCAGGACTTTTAGAATATTCTTTAGATCATTAATTCCAAGTATATCATGAGGTCTGGCTATTGTTTGGGTTTATTCAAAATCATGCAACAAAATAGCCCACAGCAATGTGTAATTTAAGAATGATTTATATAAATAATGTCATACAAACTCTGTATATTTTTTTGTATATTAGTTTTTATTGAAGTCTGACAAGTCTCAAAACCATGTCTACCTGACTTGGCAGTACAGTAACAAACCTATTTACTGAACCCCAAAGTTTGTCTGTATTGGACAACATTCTCTAAAAATGTCTGAATTTTGGCTGGATTGGTAATTTTCTTAATTACTAAAGCCAGGTCTGTCAGAAGTCTGCCATCATGACTATATTTGAAGCATTTGCTCTGATGCATTCAGTGATAACCTTATAATTCATGCTTTCATATCTGAATACAATTTAAAGATTAAAGCTTATTTTATTCATTCCTAATAAGGTCAGTGTCCATCATGGCTGCTGTGTCTCTTAGCTCTTATCTCATCAAAGGGCTGAAGGAACAGTACATGAAGTTGCCCCAAGGAGGTAAGGTGCAGGTCACCTACGTCTGGATCGATAAAAATGGGGAAGGAGTCTGCTGCAAAACTAAGACACTGGACTATGAGCCCAAGTCCATAGAAGGTGAGAAAAAGACACTTTAATGCCCACATGACATCCCATCCCACCTGCCATGTTTCTGGCAGACGCCTTGTGAATTATCAGATGATAGAAAGTATCACTTCCGTCTAAAATTGAACCTTCAACTGGATCCTCCTGATGTTTGAGTCTCTAGTGATGATGATGATTCTCCTGGTTTCCCATGGTAGACAGTCAAGTGTAAATAGAATGAAGTGATTTTAAGAGTTTGCCAACTGACAAAGAAATTATCAGTCTATAATGGTAGGTGTATTTTAACAGTGAGAGACAGAATAACAGTAAAGAAAAATTGAGAAAAATGCATGTCAAAAAATTATACATTGATTTGTAAGTGAATGAGTGAAATAAGTATTTGATCCCCTATTAATCAGCAAGATTTCTGGCTCCCATGTGTCTTTCATACAGGTAACAAGCTGAGATTTGAAGCACTCTCTGAAAAGTATAAATTATCCATACATTGTAAAAGAAATTTTTCCCCAATTCTTAGATGTCACCCCAAAACCATAGCCTACACCCCTAACCGACCGCACATGACGTGTATGCCCAAAATAGTTCCACTATTTTTTTCGAGCAGCCAAAACATACGAAATCCCAGGGCTAGAGCGTTCGTGACTTAGTTCGGCTTAATCCCCTCGTTCGTATACTGGTTCTCAGAAAGTACCGCTTCGTTCAGTTGGATTTTCATGAACATCCATGAGGCTGGAGGCTTTAGCTGTGTTCGTGCCGTCGAGTGTCCGATTTGGGTTCCAGACGCTCAACGACCAAACACCGCTGGTGTTATTCGTATGCCAAAATGGCTGCCACCACGTGTTCATCTATACGAACGAAGGCCACCCTGACTATCACACAGGGTTTCGGGTATTTGTGGTTAACCAGGTATGCTGAAGGTTAATAGGGTCAATTGGTGCCACACTGTCCTCCTGGGTGGCCCGGTTGTTCGGTACTTTGTTTGGCAAACTATATAGGGTAATCCATATAACTGGTGTTTGTACCGAACAAATACACAAAATTACACAATTACCCAGTGTTGCAATGGAGGGATACAATAGAACAGAATGAAATACACACACAACGGTATGGACAGCCTCTAGCACCAAAAAGGGGCACTAAACTAAAGCCCATTCCGCTACAGTGTTTATAGGGGATGTAAAGTGTGTATGTGGGCATGTGCAGGGGCTTGGGATAGAGGCTGTATTGTGTGTTTGCTTGTGATGGATGTAGTATGTCCATATATTTGTGTATGTATTTACATAGGAGCTCTAGCATGTTTGCATAGAGGCTGTAGTGTGCGTGTATTGGAGCTGTAGTGTGCGTGTGTATTGGCGGAGCAAAGGGTTAGAAATGTAATGTGTTTTTAAATCAGTATTAACCATTGTAAAATGTATTATCCCTCCCTTTTGAAAGTATTGGGAGGATCCTGCTAACTGGTTCTATGGATATTCTGAAGGTTGGGCATCTAGTCTGCACATCTAATGGGTGCAGACCATTTCTATTGCTTTTGCAAGCCAGTGTACTATTGAATGCATGAAAGTGTTACTGTAAATACCTTCAACGATGCCCTGAGTATGACAGGAGCAATACACATGGTTTGCACTTGTCTGAGGTGCTGACCTGAAGCTCTCTGGGCTATTTAGATTAGAGTGTGCTGGCTTGGTTAGAATGATCTTTGATCTCCTCACTGACCCATAAAGTGATAGAACATCTACTTCTGGCTGGTGACACATCAGTCTGGCATAGGTCAGCCTAGGAGATTCTTTGACCTAACCAGATTGCATTCGCTCAGGCATTTGGTCAGTTTGCCCAGTACCAGTGCATAACTGCTCAGGATCACAGAAAACCTGTTCTGAAATGTCAAGAATGACACCAATATAAAGAATGCTAAACTGAATCTGAACAGCACTTCACTTGCTAAAAGGTCTCCCACGCTTGACTAAATTTGTAGGGTAGATTTGCATTTTGGAATGTGTAAAAAATGTTGAAACACAACATACTTAATATTCTTAAAGTGTGTCCGATAAGGAGGAACTCTATACAGAAAATATATATCTATACATTTTTAGATGTTGGTACAAAGATAAAAGCTACAAATATGGTATTGACACCGAAATATCATTTTTTTTTAAACTTAAGTTAACTATTTACAGATTGCTAAAATGGAGCTGTTCCCAATGTTTCTAATAAGTAACTATTGGAAGGCCATCCACAGCCTTAATCTTATCATCTTTCATCTCTTCCAAATAAGTAGAAGTAGGGAAATGTAAGGATATATTATGGCCATTTGTTACAGTTTTTACCCATGTGTAATGATGCCCCCATTTCTTTTAGGGTACCGCTCTATCAAGAAGTCCCTTTTCTGTTTTGTTCCTGTTTTTTTATGTTGAAAAGGTTAGTATAAAATATACAGATTTGTCCAGTTATCTTCGTGTTTTTTCCTATATCAGAGATCCCAGAGTGGACCTTTAATGGGCTTGGCACAAGGCAAGCAGAAAGTGATAACTGTGGCATGTATCTCGTCCCGGTCAAAATGTTCAGGGACCCTTTCAGTCTAGACCCCAATAAGCTGGTGTTGTGTGAAGTTCTGAAAAGCAACAGAACACCTGCAGGTAAGAATTTTACAAATAAATTATTTTACCAAATGTATTGTCATGTATACTAAACTGTTAGCAGTCGTTGGCTGTCCACTTCAACTAAACTAGGTAATGGTATATGCCATTAGTAATATTCAAAGGCAAGTCTCAGAGTTCTCAGTCAAAGTGTTTTGACCCACAATTAAAGCACAGATTTTAAACTAGACATAAAATAAATATAAGCAAATGGTGCAGATTTGTTCAGGAAGACTTTATTTTGACCAGATTTGGCTTTAGTGAATGTTAGAATTGTCAGTCTGGTCAGAATTCGGTAATTTTCCCCAAATTTTCTCCATATAGATAAACGTCTGTGTTTAGATTAATCCTGCAAGTAATTGCAGAACCATCATCACTTAGTCACAATAACCCACCTGATCCTATTGGATTAATTACATTGGATGCTAGAATATTGAATACATTGAATAACGGATGCATGGATGTAATGACAATGTGAATATCGCGGGCAGCTAGTGAATGGTGTCAGGAGTTTTAAGCAGAAATTATAGCATTATTAATCATTAAAGGTTATTAACATAGATTTACTGAAATATGAATGCATTGTTTTATATTCTTTGGTCTTGTTTTTTGTTCCAATATCTCGTGAGTTTTATTTGTTTCTAATATTATTGCGGAGAAGAGAATTCTGTCTTGATTCGAAGCTAGACCTGATTATCCCTAAAAAAAAAAAAACAATTGTGTCTGCATTCCTGCATCATGTAGGTAAGCAATTAGAGGATGTATCAAGTATGATATTGTATTTTACTATTAGGGTACCCTCAGTTGGTCATCACTGTTAATAACATAATTAAATATTTCTGGGAAAAAAGATAATTTGACCTTAGCTCTGTGTACATGATGTAAGTATATAAAAGTCTTGAGATGCACATACCTAATTCTAGAGGGTTTTTCTTCCAAATATAACCCATTTAAGGAATTGGCTGTCAATTTATTAAGTTTCTACAGCCTTTAATCTCATTGCTAGTCTCATTTTTTATTTTATTTATTTATTACTGATATTTATAAAGTGCCAACAGATTCTGCGGCGCTGTACAATTGGTGGAGAACGTACAATATACACAGACAAATACAAGAGGTAGAGAATTGTTGTCAATAGCGTCAGTAACCGCGTTTGTATCACAGTTGGCAGATGTCCGACAATCTTAGAAGTAACCTTTGCCCCCCTGCTGAACTTGGTGAGGAATAAGATGTAATAATGTAATGCTTAGCACTATTGGTAAATGATTCTGTCAAAGGAACTCCATGTACATTTATTACACATTGAATTGTGGTGCATTGGAACACAAATTGTAAAATTCAGAAACAAAAAAGCTAATTTGGCAAAACTGATCCAACCCAGCTGTAGTTACAACTTGTCTCTATAGATTTAAACTTTGCTGTTCGGTTTGTAATTTACTATATTTTGGAATTCACTGAATACTCAGCCTTGTGGATTTACTTTCCTTATTCACTTGCAGAAAGCAACCTGCGTCAGACTTGCAAAAAAATAATGGACTTGGTGAAAGATCATCGACCTTGGTTTGGGATGGAACAAGAATACATCTTACTTGATATCAATGGTCAGCCTTATGGTTGGCCCGATAAATATATCCCAGGACTAAGAGGTAATAAACTTTACACAGAAACATTAAATGTATGTATGGCTTGAGTATTAATATGATTCAGTAGAGTGGATTAATTAATTTATTTTAACCATCACAATTCATGATTTAAAGATTAACGAACCATCTGCACATAGCATGACTTATAACCACATGCTTTCTGAATAACGCTGTTCTGCTCTCATCAAGGTTCTCTTAGCTTTGAAAATGTTGATAGGAACTCTATGTTACAAACTTACCTGTACCCGGCTCCCGTGTCTCCCATCTCCTTGGGCCACGCTGGCAGAATGCACCGCGTGGCTGCACTACTGCAGTCCTCAGACCACACGGCTTGAGTGCTTCACGTGGCCGAATGGCCTGAATAGTATACTCGCCTTCAGTCCCACAAACTGCTCCCTCTGCTGGTTCCTTGGCCGAACTGCAGCTCCTTAAATAAATTATTACTATGACGTCACAACCTTAAAGTCACCACGTCATCTAGAGGACCCAGTGCTGTTTGGGGTCGCAGAGATGATGTGGACCAATGGGAACTCTTCTGAATTTATTTAAGGCCTGTTCTAGCCTTAACTCATTGCCTTATCATGGTTTCTTGTTAGATCCTCGTTTAGTGCTCCTAGAGATTCCCTTGTGATTTTCTGTGTTTGACCTCGGCTTCATATTTGACCCGTGATTTCTGATAACCTGACCTCAGTTGACTGACTTGCCTAAACCTAACCCCTAGATTATTTTTAAATCTTTCAACAGGTCACTCATACTGTGGTGTTGGGATAGAAAAAGTCTTTGGACGTGATATTGTAGAATGTCACTACAAGGCTTGTCTTTATGCTGGTATTGAGATCTGTGGCATCAATGGAGAAGCTATGCCATCACAAGTACGACATATATGCTTAAATTCCTTATTTGCCTTATTTGTCTTGTCCTGATGTGTATTACCTGTTGTTGTCACTGGTTCATTATGGATTTGTTTTCCTAACTCTTTATTAGCTACTTCTTGTGTCTATAGTAAGCTTTCAAAATTAGTATGAAAACTTAATGCATCTGTGCACCCTGATGCCTCCAATTTGGACAGCGGCTACCAAGCATCTAAGAATGCAGTGGTACGGATCTAATAGCTGGACATCCTCACTGTGAACTCATTCATGCAACCAAATTTACCTAATCCATTTGTTTTTACTTTGATTTCTTAGTGGGAATTCCAAGTTGGCCCCTGTGAAGGCATCGAAATAGGAGATCATCTATGGATGGCTCGGTTTATACTTCACCGTATCTGTGAAGATTTTGGTATTGTGGCCACTCTTGACCCAAAACCGATGCCCGATTACAAATATGCTTCTGGCTGTCACATCAACTACAGCACAGAAAACATGAGGACGAAAGGTGGATTAAAGTGAGTTGTGATTGAGTTGTGTCTTCGCACTAAAACTAAATTAAGGCTTTGGGGGCTGTGCATAACTCACACTTCAGCATCTTGACAGGAGAATTACTGGTTTGGATTGTCATTGCTCCACTTTTAGAACTTTGATTCCTGTTTTTCCTATTTGGCAATGAGTATTTTTATAGACCAAGTAAAATACATGTAGATGGCACATTGATTGATTGATTTTGTGATAACTGATTCGTTTAAGCATACCGTAAGTTCGTCATTCTTTTATTGAAAAAAATGTAAACAAACTATTTAATAAATGCCCAATCTATTTTTCCTACAGGGATATTAAAGATGCAATAAAAAAATTGGGAAAGAGGCACAATTACCATATCTCTGTCTACGACCCCCATGGTGGCAATGATAATGCCCGTCGTCTGACTGGTGGTATTTCGACCTCAAACATCCATGAATTTACCACTGGCATTAACAACTGCTCCGTTAGCATTCGTATTCCTCACCAAGTTGAGAAGGAGGGCAAAGGGTACTTTGAAGATCGCCGGCCGTCTGCCAACTGTAACCCTTATGCTGTTACTGAAGCTATTATCAGGACAACCATTCTAAACAAGACTGGCAATGAGACTAAAGACTATGGAAACTGAACTGGAAGCTGGACCTCTTCTCTCTTTAATTGCAAAAACACTAAAACCAATTATTCTTGCATGTCTTCTAAAAAGTTTTGTTTTTGAGTTTATCTTTAACCCCTTAAGGACCAAACTTCTGGTATAAAAGGGAATCATGACATGTCACAGATGTCATGTGTCCTTAAGGGGTTAAACCTTTGAGGTCCTACATCAGAATAAATGTGACAAAATATTTTACCTCTTGCGGTCCAATGTTGGCTGTACCCTGGAGAGTACTGCCGATCCTCCGTGCTGGGTGCCACGAATGTGCATATGTACTGCACGCGGCACCGAGGATTGGCAGTACTCTCCAGGGAAAATCTGACATTGGACCTTGTGACAGAACCATCTGTCTGCTGGATTTTTGCCCGTTCGTCTGTTTGTCCCCGTTCGTATGAATGGCTGGTTTCTATAGCCCAGCCATTCGAATGACTCTTTTTTCCCGAACAAATCTGCCGAACGAACGGCCACCCAAGTGAGGAGTGTGCTGCAGGTTAACGAAGTGATCACCATTATAACGTTGTGGTTAACCGCAGACACTTCTCAATTAAACCGAACTCAGGGTGGTCGTCGTTCGTATGTCGACCACGAGGCAGCGGCCATTTTAAATCATGCGAACGCTCAGCGGTGTTTGGCTCTATTTCTATGGAACGGAAAACGGACACTTTTTCTGTCGAACACCGCTGAAACAAGGGAACGCCTGGCTGCCTCCACGAAAGCATGCGAACATCGGCCGTTCGGGAGATTGAGAGCATACAAAAGACTTAACCCAGATAGCCCACCCATGGAGTCATTCGTGTACCGAAGGACTGTAAGAACTTTGACTCCATGGCGATTGAACTATGTGTGTGGGATCTGAGCGCTATTCGCCAATAATATGCACTCAGATCCAGGCTATCTGGGGACATGTAATACGAATGGGAAATGTTCAGTTTTCATGTAGTTATGCATTTTTATGTCTTTTATTATTTTATGTTTAAAATGGCGACTGTCCTTGTCCTGGAGTTAATTGAGTTACTTGGTAATTAACTCCAGGACAGAGGGGAGGGAATCAGAATGCACTGTGGGTAAGATATGTGACTGTGTGTCAGAAATGTCCTTCTATCTGTCTGTACTTTAAGTCTTCCATTTGGTCCCCTAGGGGAGTGTCCACCAGGTGGGAGACCTGCATAAATACGGGCAGGTAGCCCACAGTAAACCCAGATCTTATTTGACCCTCAATGCGGAGCTTCTGTCTCGTTATTGGGGGGATTTCTTCTTCACGTTTAGAGACTGCTGGATGGAACGAAAGCCGCTTTGGGGATATTATTGTTCGACGGTTCCTAGCAGTTCGTATATTGCCGTTCGGGAGTTTGGAGCCGTTCGTGGATTTCGATCGGGAGATTGCCGCTTCCCCTGCATTTGGTTCGTGGGTTACAGAGTAAGCGAACAGAGACTGTACTGCAGCCGGGGAAGGTTTACTAAACGGCGGTTTGGCTTAAAGACACGGGAGGTGTCTTAACAGACCTCAAAATATTGTGTCAAATATATTCTGACATAGGACAGACTTGGGCACAGTGAGAGAACTTATTTCAGCAGCACCATTTTTTCCTGAAATTAACACGTTTAGGGACAGCTATGACAGTCTAGCTCATCAGAATTTTGGCAAACGAAAAAAGATTCTGAAAATAAATCAGACGATCCAAAAGGGCACAAAAATGGGCCAATCACTGTACTGCAAAATATATACATAGTAAAAAGTTTCCCACTACTTGGTTCATAAATCAAATGTGAAAAAAATTAAAAAAAAGAGGAAAAAGGAAAAAGAAACAGTAAAAAAAAATAAAGCTATTTGTACAAATTATATATTTATTATATAGTATATTAATATAGAAAAATAGATACATTTTCACTGCTTCTCCTCCTTTTTCCTCCATTGCTCACTTCTCACTTGATGGGTAAATATAACAACATCTAGTGGCTTTTCCCTAGCCATTATTCATTTCTTTGCCCCTTCCCCCCCATCTTTCATCTCTTATTTTGGTGCCAGGAGTGGAATTCTGAATCACAAAATATATAGATAGTCTATATGGAGGTTCGTAAATTGGAAATTCAGAATATCACTCGAGCAGTACAAACATGGGCGAATTATAGTTCGTAAAAAAAAATGAATCTCCAAAACTATCTGTCTGTCTGTCTGTCTGTCTCTCCATCCATCCAAACAGTGGCCAAAGCCATATTTTTTTCCTAAATATTACTAGCAACATAAATATACCGACATTGTTCCAAACTAGTTAATTTGAACATAAGCTGGTAAATTTAAGTTTTTCTTTTTTCTAATTTCTCTATGAGTAACACATTCTTACATACTTTGTTTCTGTACTGGTGAGAGATATAAACAAGTTTAGACTAGTTTAGTTATTCCAAGGTAGTCTTGAGAATCTATTTTGGGCACATTGGAATCATATCATTTGAGTCAGAATATTTTTTATCCTGCTGATAATGTTATAAGTTTCATTAGTTTAAAATGTTGAATTTATGCAGATAAATAGAAGCAAAATGTAAATATTAATTTAATGCAATTTGTATATTTCTGACAAACCCCAGTTTAAATCACTCTTCATCTTTTTGGATTTATATTTGTATTTCTTTTAATAAATCTATTTTAACCTTTTTATAGCTGAATTGTATGCCCCCCTTTATTTAGGGACAGATTAATTCTGACAATATGGTGGTCCAGCTCATCATAATTTTGGTAAAGTAACCATAAAAAAGTAACTAAAAGAAGGAAAAAGAGAGAGTAGCAATAAAATTAAAAAAACAAACTATATGTATCAGATAAAGGTGGGTTATCGGCTCAGGGTGAATGGTCAGAAGTTATGATTCAGAAGTAGACCTAACTGACCATAGCAGGATGAGTAGGTTTAGAGGCAACTAATTATGGGGTACTGTTTTTTTATTGCATAAAACAAGATACTGATCTTTTGTCACTATGCCGTTTCTGTCAGGTAAGCTGTGTTTAACTGTATAGAAGATATGTGTTTTTCATATAGAGGAAGGGCACTCTTCAATAACACTCTACTTGAGCACAAGCAATAAAATAATCTCTGCCTATTCAACTCTTTTAGTGAAGAAATTGTGTGACGGAGCTCCGTGTACCCCTGGCAGGGCACCTCCACCAAGGACTGCTTCTTAGCTGGAACAGGGGACAAACCACAGCACTTCTACCCATAGTTGCCGTGGCTTGACTGGGGCCCTGGAACCGCTCTCTCCTGAAGCCGAATGAGGAATTCGCTCTAGACACTGGACGTCACTCAGTCCTGGGAGCTCTAGTCCTTACAAGGACTTTCCTTGTTGAATCCCCTGCAAGCTGGAACAGCAGACACAGGGGTTAAATCTTCCTTCCCTCCAATAACATAACATACAGTTTTGAAGTGCAAGCTAGAATGCTTTAATAGCAGCCACAACTGGCCTTACATGCATGGCTCCATGCAAGGTGCACCCCCCCGGACCTTGTGGGGGACTGCAGCACAAAGTCACAGACCAATGACAAAGGTGTTTAAATACATTATACATGCCCTGATAGCCCTGATCTGGGTGACCAACATATCCAAAAATAATCCAGAGTAGTTCAGGAATTTCCTGGAAGTCATTTATTTGACCAACTGGAGGCATGGTCCCATGCCCAAAACAGTTCCAGAGAATCAGGGCTTGCGATCGGGCAAGTTCAGTAGTTTGAAAATGAACAAACTTCCGAACAGAGTCAATAGTCTTACCCTGGAGCTTGTTCCCCTCATCCAGATGAATGATTTCACCTACAGTGCCCTTCTAAGTTATATAGAAACGAATGCAGGCGATTATGGAAGTCCAGCGGTGTTAGGGAATTTCTGTATCCGATTTTAGTTCCATGAGATTCATGCCCAAACAACCGCTGCCTGCGTTCATGCGAACAAGATGGCCGCCACCTCGTGGTTGTCCATAGGAATTGCGGCCACCTAGATGAACAATTAGAACACTGCGGTGAGAAACGTTCCAAGTTGTTAATAGGTGTTAACAAGCTCTAGGGTGGTCTCTGGTTTGTGTGGTTGTTCGGTAACTCAACCATATAATCCCAATTGCACGAACAGAGTCTTTTTAACATTATATTTCACAAGGTCCATAGTCTGTGGGCAGGAGTCTGGCAAGTAGGCTCCTCCAGGAACTCATGACAAACTCAGGTAAAAAGGGAAGTTTGTCACACAAATAAGGAACATTTCACAATAGTCATCAAGGTCCCTACTTCTTTTTTTTCTTTTTGTTGCTAACAATGGAGGATTTAAATTTTTCTAATTTCTCCATAATCTCACCTGTTAAAGTCTCAAATTCATTTGTCAATATAAAGTGTTCCAATGTTACTTACATTTCTTGTTTTATCAATGATCTCTAAATTCCTTGACCTTTGTTTTCTAATTATTTGCATAATTTCTTGGAACATCAAGTTAACTTAAAATTAAGTTGTGTTAAAATCAATTTCTTGGATCTACATGTTTATGCAGACAATTACCAAATTAAGAGTTGCACTTTACTCAAACAAGTAGATGCTAACAGTTTTATACATAAGAATAGTTGCCATTTTAATCTAATTTATCTAATTTATCATTTATCTAATATAACAAGAGGACAATTTCTTAGACTTAGTAGAAATTGCTCTGATTTAAATGAGTATGATAAACGAGATACATTTTAAAAGATCAGTTTATCGAAAAGTTTATCAGATCAGTTTATGCAAAATAAGGGAAACTAATGAGTAAAAAAAAAAAAAAAAAGCAAAGTTGTTTATTCATATTTGACTGACCAAAAATTACAAATCAATTATTTTATAACCTGTAACTCAAAAAATGTTATGTGTTCTCGTATGCCCACGTGGCCTTCAGTATGTTGGAAAAAATGTCCAGACAACGGAGGGTGAGGAGAAGGGAATATATATATATATATATATATATATATATGATATTAAAAGGGGTTATCATAGTATTTCCCAACATTTTTTAGAGTAACACAATAAAGATCAGAGCAAACTGCTATTTTTTTAATATATTTAATTCAAGGTCACTTGCGGGAAACCGATGTGTCAATGAATCTTATTAAAATCGAAATGAAGTGGATTTTTACTTTGGACACATTGTCTCCTATTGATTTTGAATATTGATATAACATATGCACAATGGGAAGCCCAATTTTTAATTATACATATTTTATTTTATACATAGATTAATTCTACGAGTCACGTGTATTAATAAAAACATGAGTTCCCATAGAAGATGAATAATATAATTATAATGCTTGCAAATTGTAATAAAGGGCAAATAAAAGTATGTATAAATTACCTCAAATAGCTGATTGTATTCACTCTCGGTTTCAATAATTCCCAATGAATAATTGTTTGAATTGTTTAGTTTGTCACTATATTTATCTGTGTGTGTGTGTGTGAGAAAAGCAAATGCGGCCCTTTACTTGATGAA